ATCACAAAAATGGCCTGGTCAGGAAGGGGGGTAAATCTTCTCGAGGGCAAGTGGATACAAAAGCTTATTTTAATTTTTCCGTTTATAATCAACTATGTAATGTGATGGCAACAAATTCAATTTATACTCAATCAGAGCTGCATTATGCAAGTTGTCTGTACATTTTAAGATGATTGTACAATGAGCCAGCTTTAGAAGGGAACACTGTCAGGAGCTGTGTAATTAGGAGAATGGCAGCAGGAACCTACATTTGTAGAGCTGGTTTGTCACAATGTTAATAAGGAACAGACGATTTTGGAAGAAAATAAATAAGTGAGAACAGATAAAAGTTTTTATTGTGCCCACATTGGAAATAGAACAGCTCTTCAGAGAGAACTTTGTTTCAAATATTGTACTATTTACGCATACAGATTTTACTGCACCCCTTGTAATAAAACATGCTGTTCGGAGCTTAGCTCTGACATCATCATGGCCGCTGGAAAGAGTGGAGAGCTTTTGCAAGCTTGTGGTTTACTTTTTCTTTTGAGTACCCTCACTTGTGGTATTATGTGGCCTGTTTTCCTCTTCATGTTTGCTGCATATAATCTGGGATTGAAGTTGATGTGAGCTCTTTCTAGGACCCATGTAGAGGCTGTTAGTAGGGGATACTGTGACATCCATAGTATCATTGATCGCTGAAGACGTCATATACTAAGAGGCAGGGGCGGACTGACAACTCATGGATCCCCCAGGCAATAGGGGATCCTGGGCCCCTGTGTCCTTGCCCAAACTCAAAAAAGCCTATGAAAAAGATACCAGGGGCATCTCATGGGGCACCCTACTGCCCGAGTTTCCAAATGGTCTGTCCGCCCCTGCTAAGAGGTCATATCCATTTGGTAAGAAGCTTGTGTGCACAGTGGTGGTAGAGCACAGAAGTTATCACAGATTTGGAGTGAAGTCATCACATATTTTCACAACTATATGGATTTTTCTATTTCAATGATCAATTAATTGTAGTGCAGTGATCACTTATATCTGTCCATGCTGTATTTTATTTATACAATTTTCACACACACGTTCACCTGCCACTTTATTAGGTACCGGGTTGAACCCCCTTTTGCCTTCAGAACTGCCTTAATCCTTCATGCAATAGATTTAACAAGGTGTTGGAAACATTCCCCAGAGACTTTGATCCATATTGACATGTCTTACTGTTGCCTTTCTATCATCTCGAACCAGTCTGTGCATTCTCCTCTGACCTCTGACATCAACAAGGCATTTTCATCCACACAATTGCCGCTCACTGGATATTTTCTCTTTTTCAGAATATTCTCTCAAAAAATGGTTGTGTGTGAAAATCCCAGTATACCAGCCTCTCTAGCATCAACAATCATGTCATGTTCAAAGTCACTTAAATCCCCTTTCTCCCCCATTCTGATGCTGTTTGAACTTCAGCAAGTCGTCTTCACCACATCTAGATGCCTAAATGCAGTTGCTGCCAAGTGATTGGCTGATTAGCAACTTGTTTTACCAAGCAATTAAACAGGTCTTATAAAGTGGCCGGTGAGTGTATATGTCTATATTCATGCTTATAGTATTTTATTATCACTCATATGTGTTCACGCTGTATTTTATTTATATGGTTTTCACACAAATATACACCTACAGTATGTTCATGCTGATGTTATTTTTCTATAGGGATACCACAACACCTTTTTGACATTTCATTTTATCTTGTATTTGTATAGTTTGAGTGCAGCTTTCACTCATTTCCACTTACATTTTGTACCAAGCACAAGGTTTCATGAATTTTTATTTGGTCTCATTACTTTGTCTTGAACTGTATGCACAGTAGCTGTTTCTGAAAAGAAGCAACACTTGCACATACTTGGCTCAATGTTTATCTCTAAATACTTATATAAAAATAAAATCTGAGCTAGAGCCACTGGGTAACAATCAGCAATGTCAAAAGGCCTCCTTATTCAGATACCCAAGTTTAAAACATAATATTAATGTTACATTACCCTCCTCCATATAGGTGTCCATATACAGTATAGGAGGGATGTTATAATTTATGGTGCAGACGAAATGTCACAACGGAGGTGTATTTGATACATTTGGCTCACTCTTGGCACTATAACCCCCAGATCAATGATTTGGGATGACCTATAGCAAAGCACTGTGGATTCTATTTAATCCTGTGTGTCAATATCTGTGCAGGGCTATGATCAACAGAGCTCAGGCAGGATATAAGACAATGGAAAATTAATTACTATACCCTGGATTTCATTTGTTTTAATCCAGCCTGCATGTATCATGACATTCAGTAAACATAAGGACTTTTCCACCTCTTGTATATTCTCATGGAGATCTGTACATTCTTGATCTATGACTGGAGGATCCACATACAGTGCAGTCATGGCCAAAAATATCAGCACCCCTGCCTTTCTGGCAAATAATGTACCACTTCACCAAGAAAACTGTTGTAATTGCAAATGTTTAAGCATTTTCATGTTTATTTCTTTTGTTTGTATTGGTATGGCACAAAAAAGCAGAGAAACAAAAAGCCAAATCTGACACAGTCTATGCAAAACCCCAAAAAGGGACTGGACAAAATTATAGACATCCTCAATTTAATATTTGGTAGCATACCCTTTTGAAAAAATAACTGAAATCAATCGCTTCCTGTAACCATCAATGAATTTCTTACACCTCTCTACTAGAATGTTGGACCACTCTCCTTTTGCCAACTGCTCCAGGTCTCTCAGGGTTCCTTGTTCCAACTTCTGTTTTGAGATCTCTCCATAGGTACTCTGTGGGATTGAGATTTGGACTCATTGCTGGCCAGTTCAGTGCTCTCCAGTGCTTTGTTTGAAACCATTTCTGAGTGAAATGCAGGGGTGCCAATATTTTTGACCATGTCAGTAGGTTGATGCCACCATGTGTGCTGTAGGCTGTGTCTATTTTTAGTGTTTTTAATACCCAAAGTTCTTTATATTTTTGTATACATCTGTTGTCTGCAGCTCACAGCTTGCTCTAATGTACAGATGAAACTGAAAAAATTAGAATATCATGAAAAAGTTCATTTATTTCAATAATGCAACATAAAAGGTGAAACTAATAATATTAGAATATTACATGCAATCAATAAAACAAGGATTGTACATAGAACAATATCAGACCTCTGAAAAGTATAAACATGCATATGTACTCAGTACTTGGTTTGGGTCCATTTTGCAGCAATTACTGCCTCAATGCGGTGTGGCATGGAAGCTATCAGCCTGTGGCACTGCTGAGGTGTTATGGAAGACCAAGATGCTTCAATAGCAGCCTTCAGCTCTTCTGCATTGTTCGGTCTCATGTCTCTCATCTTTCTGTTGGCAATGCCCCATAGATTCTCTATGGGGTTCAGGTCAGGCGAGTTTGCTGGCCAATCAAGCACAGTAATCCCACGGTCAGCGAACAAGGCTTTGGTGCTTTTGGCAGTGTGGGCAGGTGCCAAGTCCTGCTGGAAAATTAAGTCAGCATCCCCATAAAGCTCGTCTGCAGAAGGAAGCATGAAGTGCTCCAAAATCTCTTGGTAGACGGCTGCGTTGACCCTGGACCAGTGGACCAACACCAGCAGATGACATGGCTCCCCAAATCAACACAGACTGTGGAAACTTCACACTGGACTTCAAGCATCTTGCAGTGTGTGCCTCTCCATTCTTCCTACATACTCTGGGTCCTTGGTTTCCAAATGAGATGCAAAAGTTGCTCTCATCAGAAAAGAGGACTTTGGACCACTGAGCAACAGACCAGGTCTGTTTTTCTTTAGCCCAGGTAAGACGCTTCTGACGTTGTTTGTTGTTCAGGAGCGGCTTGACAAGAGGAATACGACATTTGAAGCCCATGTCCACGATCCGTCTGTGTGTGGTGGCTCTTGATGCACTGACTCCAGCCTCAGTCCACTCCTTGTAAAAGTCCCCAACACTTTTGAATGGCCTTTTCCTGACAATCATCTCCAGGCTGCGGTCATCCCTGCTGCTTGTGCACCTTTTTCTTCCACACTTTTCCCTTCTACATAACTTTCTATTAATGTGCTTTGATACAGCACTTTGGGAACATCCAACTTCTTTTGCAAACACCTTTTGAGGCTTTCCCTCCTTATTGAGGGTGTCAATGATGGTTTTCTGCACAACTGTCAGGTCAGCAGTCTTTCCCATGATTGTGATTCCTACTGAACCAGACTGAGAGACCATTTAAAGGCTCAGGAACCCTTTGAAGGGTTCCTAAGCTAACTGAAGTCTTACTATTTTGTACAGGGGCAAATGATATATCTCTTTCGGGGATCTATACCACGATCTGAGGCTCTTCCTGCTTTACTTCCCCCCAGCTGCCATTCCACTGAGCGCGCTATAGTAAGCAACAGTAAAACCTCATCTGGAATGTGCAGTTCAGTTTTGGGCTTAATTAGCTGATTAGAGTGGGACACTTTGAGCCTAGGATATTGCACCTTTTCACAATATTCTCATTTTCTGTGATTGTGGATTTGGGGGTTTTCATGAGCTGTAAGCCATAATCATCACAATTATGACAAATCACGGTTTGAACTATCTTGCTTTGCATGTAATGAGTCTATCTCATATATTAGTTTCAGCTTTTAAGTTGCATTACTGAAATAAATGAACTTTTGCACGATATTCTAATTTTGTGAGTTTCACCTGTATACTATGTTGACACTCATATGGAGGAGGATGATTTAAACTTTATGAGTGCATTTTGAGATATGGTAGCATTGTATGGAGGATTTCTTTTTTGAAATACATGGCCTAAATAATATTTATAATCAAACAGTGAGAGTATGATTACATGCACAATTCAGTGGTCACAATGTACTATAATTCATAAGTAATCAGATTTGGCTGTTAAAACTAGGCAGATCAGTACACAGGGCTAGTGGGTATGAGGATAAGAAGTAGGGGGAAAGTAAGATGGGGCCTAGTCAATCCAAAGAGAAATGTTCAATGAGTTTAATGCTTTGTACATGGTAACCAGACCCTATAACTTTTTTTAGACAATTCCTATTTATATAGGTCCTCTGATACACAGGTAAAGTAGCATTAACAGATAGTGCCCTTAAAAAGATTCTAAATGCTTTTTTTAAATAAAAAAAAATAACAAACATGTCTATACTTACCTGCTGTGTGCAGTGGTTTTGCACAGAGCAGCCTGGGTCCTCCTCTTCTCGCGTCCCCCACAGGCTCAACTGGCCCCTTCTTCCTTTCGGGTGCCCCCACAGCAAGCAGATGCTATGGGGGCACCCACTGCTCCATTTGTCCATTCACACATGGAGCCGCGGCTCAGCCCAGCCCCCTCTCTCTTCTCATTGGTTCACTGGGTTTGATTGACAGCAGTGGAAGCCGATGGCTCCCACTTCTGTCTCAGCCAATGAGAAGAGGGAGTCACGGCATAGCCTAGACTCCAGTGCACATTGCTGATTCAAAGGGGGGCCTCGGTAAGTATAAGGGGGGGCTGCTGCACTGAGAAGGTTTTTTTTACCTTCATGCATAGAATGCATGAAGGTAAAAAACCTTCAGCCTTTACAACCACTTTAACCTCTTGGCGCTGGCTACACGCAAATGTGCGGCCTACCAGCGTCTGGGCCTTGATGCCGGGCGGCTGCACATTTGCGTGCAATTAAGAAAAACATATGTGCTGAGAGCGCGCGCCCTGCGCACTCCCAGCGCACATGTCCAGTACTCATGGAAAGGTCCTGATCTCCTCTTTTGATCGGGACCTTTCCCAATCATGTGACCGCCGTGACAGCAAATCACGGTGGTCACATGACACTAGAACCCCATCCCGCCTCCCGGCTTCTGAAACCCTTAAAGGGCCGAGAGGCGCCGGCGCCAAGGGGTTAAGGACACCATAGGGAGTAGCACAGATGTTCACCAGCAAAGATGTTCTTTCTTAGCATAATAAAAAGGTATGAAATCAACTGCTTGGCAAAATAAGGCCTCTGTTCATCTTCATTCCCAAGTCAGGGGGTATTTGTACACATGTGTTTATAATATCTAACACTTCTGTCCAATAGATGTGCAAGACCAGAGCATGTGTAGGTATGTTCCAGAATCCAACTGGCAGCAAGGGCAAGTGGGAGATGTTTGGGGATAAATTTATTCCCAATAGCTGTTTGCGCAAAGATGATACCCAGCACTTGTGGGTCTCACTGCTTCTACCTGCACTACATGAACCATATACTGTATGTCTGAAATCTGAGGATGGCTGCTGTTTCATTGTACGGTTAAGAAAGTCTAATAGATTGTTGGAAAACAGAATTATCACTGCATTGCATTAACTTCATTAAAAGTTGAATATACAATTCTTCAGTTGGGATAGGCAAGTGCCGTGGAACCATGTACACGTTTCTTCACTGCAGATATTGCCTGTTATAAACTACTAGCTTTATTCTCTGGTGACAGGCTATAACAAAAGTCTGGAACAACACAACAAAACAAGTTTATAGCCAGCTTTGCTAAAGCTGCTTTTATAGATAATTTAACATTCTGCTTAATTTGATATATTGTAAAAGAATTTGCTTGTCATTACTAGACACTTGCAGAGAGCTATTTACTTTGTTTACACATTCCAGTTGGTGTTGGTGTGCAGTTTAGGATAAAAGTATATAAGAACAAAAGACTAAGGCTTCATTCTCACTGGCGCTCCTGCATTTAGCTTTTTTAAACATATGAGGATTGGTGTAGGAAGTATAAACAATGATTAGCCTCCCAGATCACTTTTTCCTGAGTTTATGTTACGCTTTAAGCCCTGGTTCACACTGGATCCGATTTTCAAATTGTGCGATTTCACTTGAAGTCGCAAGATTTCAAAGTAGGATGGCGGTGTGATTTCGGGTGCGACTTGATAGACATCTGTGCAACTTCATGCACGTATAGCTATGCAAGTTGCACCCTAAATCGGCAAAAGTAGTGCAGGAACCACTTTTCTAATCAGTGCGACTCTGGGGAAGTCGGAGTTGTACTCATTAGACCGGTTCCATTGCATGCGCTTTTTCATGCGATTAAAATGCATGACAATTCACATCAGTGAGAACCAGGGCTTAGGGTCGGGTCACACCAGGATTTACATAAGAATGTGCTGCGCATTCCTGTGCAATTCACACATGGTGCGATTAGAGCCCATTAATTTTGAATGGGCTGAATCACACCAAAAAATAGTGCATGCACTACTTAAAAAACCGCACTGCAACTGTGTTTGTGACCTGTGTTTGGGGTGTCATTAACTGCAGCGCGTTTTGAATGCAGTGCGGGAAATGCGCACATCACATGGGTTTCCCATACCATGTTCTGGTGTGAACAGGCACTAAAGCAGGTTCAGCCATGTTTAGACACTCGCCCTTTTTTTATCGGCAAGTAGGAGTACCGACACTTTCAGTAAAGTACTCGCTGATACCGTGTACCGATACTTTACAGTGCGATTTGCATCAATACAAGATGTACGGATGCAAATTGCACCACAGAGAATAGCAAGCGATTTGAACAGGAATGCTATTCCTGTCCAAATCACATGCGGTTTCTCCACTGCTCCTGTGTGAACCCAGGCTGTCATAGACTGAGTTCACACAAGAGCGGTGCAGGCAGGTTTCCCGTAGTGGAGCGTGGGCATGAGGGGATGTATACCATGGTGGCAGATGTTCCATAGTCTCAATTTGGAATAGAAGGCTTTCGATTGGTCAGTAGCATCACATGGATGGTGCTGACCAATCAGATGCCCGTACTAGCAGCTTCACAGGTCTGGGGATTTGAAATATCTACAGCTTTCTCTCCTCTGCTTGCATTGATGACAGTGCAGGCTAGATGGCATCTGACTGGTCAGCACCATCCATGTGACAGTGCTGACCAATCAAAAGCCTTCTAGCCCCAACTGTCATCCCCGCAAGGAGAGGAGAGAAAGTGGCGGAGATATAAAATCCCTGCTAGTTTCTCTCCTCTCCTACGGGTGAGAATATGGAGCGTCTGCCTCCATAGTATATATCCCCACACCCCACTCTCCACTCAGTATGAGATGCCTGCAAGGAGGTTTCCAGCACCGCTCCTGTGTGAGGCTATGACAAACCTGGGTTCATACAGGAGCCGTGGGGAAACCGCATGCAATTTGGACAGGAATCGCATTTCTGTTCAAATTGTATTCTAATCTTTGTGGTGCAATTTGTATTCACGCAAATCGCACCGCAAAATATCAGTTTCCGGCATCTGCAGCATTTTCACAAGTACGAGTACTCGTGAAAATACTCATAATCGGCACCAATACTGGTATCGATCTATCCCTAGTATTTACAATTTCTAATCATGTCTTTGATTCACATCATTTTATTTTCTAAACTAAACAGACTGCACCTAAAAGCAGGTAAGGCCTCATTCATAAGGGCACACTTAACTGATTGCTCATATGAGGGTTGTGTTTGACCACAGGCAGTCCCATTCAGGTCAGGGATGCAGCAGCTACTTGGACACAGCCATTGCTCCCAATATGACAGCCATGTGGGTGCAGGTGCATGTGTTCAACTTGACATGAATGGTACTGCCTGCACGTGGATGCAAATAACACCTGTGCTGCAGGCAAACACAACCCTCACATGTGCTTAAAGTGGAACTTCACATTCTCCATCAACATCGACTATTTTTTTTATCCTTATGCTGCTAAAATTAGTAAATAGATAGGAAGGTATATCGTATTTACTTGTTTTAAACTTTTTTTTTATTTCTTCAGTCACTTCTTGGTTTCCCTGCCTAGGCAAATGTTGCCACACATCTCAGGAGTCTTCAGGGAGGAAGGAGGGACTTTTTCAGCTAAACATATCCTTCTGCCTGTATGCCTGGGCTAAGGGCAGGTGGATTCCAGATTCCAGGAAGTAAGATCATCCGCCCTTACTTAAGATGGTGGCGGCCAGAAATGCTAGAGGGGTGTTTTTCAAAGTGATATTTCAGCAAAACAAAGCATGGAGGCATGAAAGGATGGAGGGGGGTTGCTTTAAATATTACAAATGAATTAAATAGTGTTTTTGTTTGTGCTGCTCAGATGCAGTGTAGTTCCACTTTAAGTACACCCATGTGAGGTCTTACCTGCATTTAGGTGCAGTTTTGTTTAGAGAAGTCTGAATGGCGCCATTGAAAACTCATTACAAGCCTTTTGTATGTGTTTTCTAAACAGATATAAGCACAGGCTTGACAGCGCCAGTGTGAATGTGGCCTTATAGTCTCACTGTAACAGTTATAACTAAAAGTATGGACAAACTATGTGTTGTTTTACTCTTTCAGTTTTACATTCTAAAGCCCTAGTGTGTGCATTTCAGATCACTAAGCTGGCTGTAGATATATTAAAATAATGGACCTTTTATTGAAGAGCAATTACGTTTCCGGAGTAGTAGTCCAACTTGAAGTTATACTACAAGTTTTGCCTCAAGCTGGAATAGTATTTAGAATTAATTAATAGAATATGCACTCACTGAACTTAAAATATTATCAGTGGTTGCCTAGTTCATACTTTGTGGGAATTTGAGTTATCATAGGCATGTAAAATGCATAGTACAAGAAATGTCTTGTATGTAAATATGGACTTAGGTTCATTTACTAAAACTGCATGCTGCAAAATCTGGTGCAGCTCTGCATAGAAACCAATCAGCTTCCAGGGTTTTTTTTTTGTCAAAGATTAAAGTGTTACTAAACCCACAACAGTAAAATCAGTCTGTATATGCAGTAAAGCATGCTTGTTATACTCACTGTAGTACCTAAGGGGTTAATCCTCTGCATTGTGTAAAAAGGATGTTTGATCCTGTCTTCTCTGATCCTTCCCTTCTTCAAGTGTGTCCTAAATATCTCCTGATAGAACAGAGGCTTGGGGGCAAGCTGCATATGCTAAGTTTGTTGTGTATTGCTAGAGATTTTTTTTTGGGGGGGGGGGTGCATGTGATCAGCACAGGGCCAATCAACATTTTCCAGACAGAGGTTATGGGTCCTGCATCCCCCTACAGGAGAAAGAGAAAACTCCTCCTACAAGCTGTAACCAGTGCTCTGCTGGACACTGACAGAAGTCACAAGACTGCTTTAACTGCTGCTGAGAAAAAGTATTTAGCAGTTTATATTTACTAAAATAATTGCACTTCCATGTTCTGTGTACTGTGGGAGACCAGATAGAAGGAATGCAGGCTCCTAGATTTAGTAACAATTTCATTGAACAAGCTGAAGTCAGTAGCTGATTGGTTTCTATGCAGAGACGCACCAGATTTTGCACTCTCCAGTTTTAGTAAATCAACCCTAATTTGTAAACAACAAAGCTTAGTAACATTCTTCAGTTATTTATACAGTATATTCAATGTTTTAAAATAACAGCAAAGCTAATGCAGAGATATTTCCCAAAAGACTGTACTAAGCAAAAGCACATATGGTTTTTTTCCATTTTTAGAAGCTAAATCACAACATGTATGATGCATGCAGTATTCATGAAAGCTTTTAATGTTGTATGAGAAATCAATTTTATATCTCAAGCACAAGAATAAATAATCATGCATCCATGTCTATTATTTGTGACTGGGTTG